TGCAACATATCATTAGTGTTTAGCAAATGTTTTGTAAGGGATGACTATGAAATACATGATTGTACTTTTGGAGAAGAAAAGAGAACAATCATGAAATTAAGAAAGTTAATACTTTCTTCTAATATATTCTTAAAGACTTACCTATCTCGATTTGAAGATATGTTGATTCACCAACACTCTACTAAAAATGATTTAAAGTAAACGTATTGCTTAGTTTTGTTCAGTCTGCCTACTCTAACACAAGGTTTTACAAATTAGTGAAGGGTTCAGATTGAAGAGCTGGAAAGAGGAACCAGATGCTGCAAAGAGAGACGCACAACTCAATATTTTGATGTGGTACATAAGTTAAAATGATTTGACAATTGGACGACAGAGTTGCTTCTTTTATTAGCACACTCAAACAGCAGCAGAAAAACAACCTTCCATTTGATTCTTAGTAAGATTTATTGTTTTTAATAATGCCACTTTTCAGAAGTGTAGTCATGTGCTCACTTAGACAGGCTGACAAAGTGAAAATTTGTATGTGATGCAAAGTACCCTTTGGGCCTTAGATAAAGACATATATAGTGCAGAGACAAGTCAAGTCAAATGCCCGCAACAAACAACAGATCCCAGTTTCCCCTTCCCATGAACTGGCTCCCAGTGTGTACCACAGAACCCACAATGTAAATCTGGCAAAACATAGAACACAGATGGCTACCAACTGACATGAAAAGTAAATTTTATTAAACATGTTTACATAACATGAGTTGGAAGTTTATTTAAAAGCACAGGGGAGTGTTAAGACAAGTGGTCAAAATAGAAAGATACTACCCAATTAAAATTAGTTGATTGTTGGCCACTAAGACAGAACGGAATCTAGTAGAAGTGCACCAATGCTTCAGTTTTTCCTGCTCGGTATGGTGAGCAGTGGTCAATCTGTGCCCTGTGGAATGATGGGCAGATAAGTCTGGCATGTATAAATAATAATAAAGAATTCACTTGGTGCAGGCAGTATGTCTATGGATTAAAAACTAGTGTGTACACAGTGTCTACATGTGTTACAGCCCCACAGTAGGAATCTACACCAAAATATTTATTAGAAGGAATTTGGTCCATACTACATCACGTTTTCCAGAGGGTAAAAAATAAAGTCCATCTATAGACACTTCACACCAGACCCAAAGACTGAGCCTGGCTAAAACCTGTAAAATGTCTATAACAAAAATGGATGGCTTATATTTCTCGGTTATTTCAGTATAGTAATTAACGAGCAAACTGTACAAGTACATGCAACATACAAGCTGGCCTATGTGGAACTAACATACATTATTAAATAACCTTTTATTTCTTTCTTTTTTATTTATGTATTATGAGGCTCTTTTT